GCGGTGTTGTAATTGTCGTGTTCGAAACGTGTCGTGTGAACATTTGGCAAATTTAAAGATAAATGTGCAGCCCTCAAATTGCCTACTCATGCCACTGCTGGCAGAAGGGCCTCCACTAGAGGGGTCTTTAGAGAGCCCTTTCACGAGGGTATTTGGCCTACTCTTCCACGCTGGCCAGCCATCTTGAAATAAGTTAGGCACATACCTACACTGTGCCACCATACGAAACATACCCATTTCACTATTGACATCCATTTGTACCATATTTGATGAACGACGTGGCGTAACCCCCCAAAAAAATTATTATGCATCACAACATTGGCTGCCAAGACCTTCGTGTTAGGTAATTTTACGAAATGTTACACTTCCTATCGCACATTGAATGATAGCAAATGTGTCCAGAGTTCAATATGGTACAGTTATAAGATATTGGTTATGGTCTTTCCATGCAAAGATGTTTTCTTGTAACATTTTCTTGAATTGAGTGTACACGGTGCGGGAAAACTCACGTTTAAAATAAAAATTAAAGTCGACCAATACAAGGGAATATTCTTACACTGCTTCAGACCAAATCCGTGTTGCCATCTACCGTGTAAAAGGTAACCAAAATAATTATGGCACTAGATAATTGAAGGGAGTGGAGTGGTGGTGCATCCAGTTAGCACACACTATTATCATGATGCTTGGTTTCCAAGAAAGAGCCTCACTGAGGCTCATGGCTGTCTTTTAGGAGGGTCCTGCCAAGTTTTGCAGTCAGGGGCGATTATTGCGATGACGATTTGATTCCAAATGAGTAATTTGCACCTAATTTTTAAAAATCTTGACCATGCCACTGGCACACAATGGCCTACTCGAATGACATCATGGGATTTTTCTTTATGTCCATTGTAAAGCAGACCGTGCATGGTATGTTCATGGTTAATGCACCAAGAGTAATAACCAGGATGGCTGATGCGATCCAACCATGAGGCTTTTCAACAAGTGGTGGACACACTGCCGCTAGGCACTGTTACCGCGTATAAACATCGGTCCTGAGTTAAATCCCTGTCCGCGGCCAAAGTTAGTGGCAAGGGATTACTGAAATGGGTCCTGGCCCATCACCATCTTCACCAAACCGCCTTGACCAGTGACGTGAAGTATGGGCCAAACGTGGTATAAGGAGGCCTTCATCCAGCAGTGGACTCGCCAAGAGCTGTGAAAATGTGTGCTGTTCCCATTGTACATCTCATTCCGGACTGTGCTGCTCCCCGATGTTGGCTACGATAACGTTCGCTGGTAAAAGAGTCTTAGTATTACAATTAAGTTTTATAATTTCAAGTAGTGCTAATGGACAAGTCCGTTGCTCGGGATCGGGGGGGGGGGGGAACTAAAGTGCATAAACACAACATCGGTAATTTAGGGTCTAACGTGAATTTCTTATTTTCTTTGGAGGTTGAAGACGTACGTTGTGTCGTCGGTTGCAGGCGACTCGTTTCGTAATGCAATTCAAGTGGCAGAGAGGGAGGGGCTCGGCGTTAGGTGGCACTTATTTACGCGGTTCGCTGCAACGAGCTGGCACCATATGGGCCAGCGCAGTCTCGCCGTGAAATAGACGACAAGGATTCCACCCACGGGTTAGTTCATGAGTGCCGCTTGCAAGTATGTACATGGTACGCTTTGTTGCTTTACAGCTGTCATTAGTGCGTCTGACTTTAGACTGACTGGGTCGTGCACCTAACGTGTGTATAATGATGATCGTAATTTACGGTGATTATCAAGGCCTTGCCACGACATGTTCGTGATAGGGGTTGTCTGAGCGGTAATATATCGGTTGTGTGCCTCGCTACGAACCCAGCGACTCGAGTTTGATTGTCGCCCTCGGTCACCACCTGTGACGATTATCTGAACAGGTATTGGGCCTTCGCTTGGTCGATTCGGCCTCAAATGAGTACCTCTGTGTGGTGTGTAAGCATTGCTAATTGGGAGACAAAGGTGGACGGACGTGGTGCTGGCCACCCACCAACCCATTGTGTACCGTTCCGGCTTTCATAGGTGCTCGCTAACAGCATTTGCCCCAAACAGTCTGTTTAAGGCTATATGGGGGATCTTTGTCTTTGTTTGACCCCTGCATGGTGGCCTAGGGCCATTTAAGATATCGCTTGTCATTGGTGTCTATGCCATGGTCAGATATCGAACTTAGGTTCATGCAGACTGCGATACCGCTTTGGCCAATACACTGTGTTATAGCGATGAGCATGTTTCAGATCGGTATTGTTCCAGATAGGTGTAATGTTCATTTGTTGTCACATTTGCTAAGCACAGGCCCAAAATACAAATCGACCAGCAACGAACAGCACGATCGAAGGTATAATTGATGAGTTGATAAAAAAAATTGAGCAAAGTTATAAAAACTTGATGGAAGAGGTATTGGGGGGAATTTCAAAGCTGAGCAATCCGAGGGAAGGGAAGGGAAGAAGCCGGGAGAGAAGTGTTTGTGACCTGCAGTGGTTGAACGCAGTGTGGATGAGACGAGACGTTCTTTAATACGAGTGGAGGAATCAATGAGTGGAAGTTCATAGGAAATAAGAAAGTGTCAATGGAGCAGATCGTTTGGTGAATGAGTGAGTGACAGACAGGAGTGAATCGGTGAGTGCATCGGTCATCAGTAAACCTGACTGTTTGTACGCGTGTGCAGACATTATTAGTATGGAATTTCTGTGGTTACCATTTGTAGAAGGAAGTTTTGTATAGATACCAAATGCCAAGTATTCACCTCTGCGAATGTTTATTTGTTCTTGAGCATCTTGGCTACAGACACTGAATACATAAATGAGTTTGTGCACTTGACAACATTGTTATAAACATAGGATACCCAGGAAACCCATGCTTACTTACAGAAGCTACATGAATGAGATCTGTAATCCTGTTTAGTGGATACACAGGGCTTTTTAAAAAAAGAACAAAGTGTGCCAAACAAGTAGGTTCAAATGGTTATATTTTAAAGAGTAGTTTGAATAAGTCTTTTGAGGTTAAACAATGATATTTTGTATAATTTCTCTTACGTATGTTATGGCAAAATGCTTTGTGTTCAAGAGAAACATGTGGCCATGACACACGGTTGGTGCTGAGCACATATGTCTGTATGTTGGTATGTCTTTCGCACTGTACGTAGCCAACCGTGCTCATCAGAGGTGCGGGACGATGCACGCAGTGATGCATGGATCCTTAATTTAAAACGAAGTCCTACACCTAGCGTTTTATGTATTGAAGTGTGTGTATGATAATTAGTTCGGAATTATGTTAATTATGTGCTATTACGTCCTCAATTAGGCTAATGGCGCATACAAAAAATGTCGAACAAAAATGCGTGATTGAATCAAATCATTGATCCTGAATCGTGACCAATGATCAAATATTTAAACTAAACTATTTTTTATTTTACCAGGTAAGGCCCACTGAGCTCTGCAGCTCTTTTTCAGACGTGACCTGGCCACAAATGACGGCTCAACGGAAGTGCCCTATCATGTGGAAATTTCTAGCAGCAGAATGCTATAAACGAGTGTTTTTAACTGTGGAGGGAAAAACCGGAGGACCCGATAAGAGTCCACGCAATCACCGGGAGAACATGCAAATATACAGACGTCAGGGTCGGGATTGAACCCACGACCTGTATGTTGAACTTCTTTCACACCGTACGTAGCCAACTGTGCTAATTGGTGGTGCAGGGGAAGGACAACAAACTAAACAATAAGCAGTTATAAAGAAATTAGTTTCAATCTAGATTTAAAAGTGCATAGCTCCAGTGGCTTCCTAATATCGAAAGGAAGAGCATATCAGACGGCCGCAGAAGTGCATCTGAGAGCGCACGATGCAGTGACCAAGGGCTCGCCAGGCGAGGTAGTTGATATCTCGCCACCGTGGCGCCCCACACATTTAAAAGGTTTTGTTGGAAGGTTGCAAACATTGGCGTAAATGTGGGAACAAAAATGTGTTCTCGTCTCATCCGTTTGTTAAACTAATCCAAATGAAACTGATCCCAATGATGATCGTGTGACATTCGAACCCTAATCCAGATGACGTGGCACATGCCTCTCTGCCTGTTGACTGTTCTTTTAATGGGGGTCTGTCAGCTGCAGAGTTGTTTTTCTCCACCCTCGTGACTGAAAAAGGCCAGTGTGACGTGTAGTTGAGAGGGCTTTAAAAAAAAAACTTCTAATAAATATTTGATGGCAGACGAGTGCAGCAGTGCCAGTAGCAGCCAGCAATGCCTCACTTCTGAAGTATTTGGCAAACTACAGGAAATGTCAGCATCCATTAATTTTGTTTTGGAATACAACAAATGTTCTTCTTTCGGCTCCAGTGAGTCCATTATTTTCGATTGCTTCACGTCTGGCTTTTTTTTAGCGATATCTAACTTGGCAGGGTCATTTTGTCACTTCCACCAGCGCTTTTCTAGCCTTTATGAAGCGACACCACAAAAGTAGGTAGATCAATCTCCATACGTGATTAACCGTCATCTCTACACAAAGAGCATTAAAAAGTCTTTGTGAGTTATTAGAACAATTTTGTGCCTCCTACAGTGTTTTGTTTAATTAAGTGAAAAGTAACTTGACGTCATTTAAGTCCACATCAGCCATGGTTAATTCAAAATTGTATGAAGGCCCAAATAGATACTGCCTCCAACTCTCACGATTCTGCAGTGTAACACAGTATTTGTTTAAGAACACTTGAAAAAGTATTTATCTTATTAAAATAAATGGCAGATGTGAACAAAAATTTTTCTCAGCTGTCAGAGGGTCACATGAATGGTATTTGAAAGCAAATTATTTGGAAGTTGGCAACGAATGGGTATTTATTTTAACTACATGTAGCTCCCTGTGTGACTTGGAACGCTTTGTCCTTGTGCAAACATGTTTCACGTTGGGACACCGGTCGCCTCTTCTGCTCATTCTCCGTGGTTATATCTGTACCCTATTTGACGGCAGGTTTTCCCATTGCTCTTCCTCGTCTCTGGTGCGCAGGTGCGTGTGCAATGAACATGTTGAAGAAGAAAGCACTGCTGTGGCTGGTCTGCGCCGTCATCGCCAACCTCTTCGTTTTCTTCACGATGCAGCTGTCGCGGGGGTTCAGCTCGTCCACAAAGAAGCGCGGCACCCCCATCATCCCGGCGAGCGATGTCCCGTTCTGGCGAATGGACGAGCCACCCAAGGCATACTGGAACCGTGAGCAGTGGCGGCTGGAGAGGTCCTACAACCCGATCCTCGTCAATGGCAGCCAGAGGGGCTCCGTGACCGCGGTGAGCAAACACGATGCCAACAACTCCGCGCCCGATGTGTTCAGCTGCGAGCCGAACGTGCGCGCGACGAACGAAGTGGGTGACTTTGAGACGTTGCCACAGTCCTTCAGAGACTTCCTGCTCTACCAGAACTGCCAGACGTTCCCGCAGCTCATCGACCAGCCGCGCAAGTGCGCGGGTCACCGGCCCTTCCTCCTATTCGCCATCAAGTCGGTCATCGCGCACTTCGACCGGCGGCAGGCCATCCGCGAGTCGTGGGGGGCGGAGACGTCGGGCAACGTGACCGTGCGCCGCGTGTTCCTGCTGGGCCGCCCGGCCAACCCTGACCTGGAGCCAAACCTTCAGCACCTGCTGGACCTGGAGAGCAAGCGCTACAGCGACATCCTGCAGTGGGACTTCCGCGACAGCTTCTTCAACCTGACGCTCAAGGAGCTGCTTTTCCTCAAGTGGGTGGAGCAGCGCTGCTCCGACGTGCGCTTCATCTTCAAGGGGGACGACGACGTGTTCGTGAACACGGACCGCACCGTCGCCCTGCTGAGCAACATCACGGCGCCGGACAAGGTGCAGAACCTGTTCCTGGGCGACGTGATCGTCAACGCCGGGCCGCACCGTGACAAGAAGGTGAAGTACTACATCCCGGAGAGTGTGTTCGAGGGCGCGTACCCGCCGTACGCCGGCGGCGGCGGCTACGTCTACTCGGGTGAGATGGCGCGGCGGATCCACCAGGTGTCACGCCAGGTCATGCAGTTTCCCATCGACGACGTGTACGTGGGCATGTGCCTCCGGCGCATGGGCTTCGCGCCCACCAAGAACTCTGGCTTCCGAACATTTGACATCTCTGAGAAGGAGCGCAACAACATATGCGTCTACAGGGACCTCATCCTCGTGCACCCGCGCAACCCGCACGAGATGATGGATATCTGGAAGTCACTCCACAGTCCCAACCTAAAGTGTTGATGTAGCTTCCCGTGCAATTGATAATATCCTTGCCAGAGACTTTGCCTTAGTGATTTTTTTTTCCCCCTGCACACTGCAAACACCGATCTGCCGAGGCTGACCAGCGCGAGTGCAGTGTTGGGCATGACGCACTTCATGCTGTGGGTGTCCTCCGTGTGGCCTTATCGAGGCAGTCAACCATAAATGCAAATTTTCGTCTCAACCAAAGGGAGAAAACTTTGTTATACTTGTCCCATTCCTAGCACAGGACTCGCTCAGTATGGTTTTGTATCGTCACGGGGACTGTTTGCGTGCGAATAGGGTTGTTTTAAAGATAATTATTATTTGTGAATGTTAGTATTGTTATATTTCAAGCGACGTAAGTTATTTAATAGCCATTTTGTTCTATTTTTGTTATGCAAAATTGCAGAATAAAATTTTGTAAAAAAATACACAACTCACGCTTATAGTTTAACACATCTTATAACAAAGCCATGCCTTTTCTTGCTTATAACTATAAATTATGTGTATATGAGATTTTGATAGCAACACTTATTGAAGAAATTACACTTGTGCAGGTAATACTATAGTGTTGAATATCTATTGATGTGAATTGACAATTTCTGTCACACTTATAGATTTTTGGGCAATTGCGCCCTCGCATCTAATGCACTTCATATACGAATCATAGCAACTCCTAGCTTTAAAAAAAGAACTCAACTAGGCATGCGAGAAAATGTCAGGATGGTCTGCGTCAAGTTTGGAAGCTTCTATTCAAAACGCAACCATTCTGCTGTATAACCAACTTAATTTGCGTATAACCATCTGGATACTGTACCTGTGTATTTTTTAGCTATTTTGGCTCGCACCATCTGTACATACTGTATAGCAGTCGCTTGTAACGTATTTTTATGAAACCAAACGGGTAACTTATTTTTTTTGCTTGTGATTGTTGAAAAAGAGCGTTGCAAGTTATGATGTCACGGCCTTCTGCAGCCCTCGAAGAGATCGCAAGGTGTGGTGTTTCTGCTGTAGCACAACATGCTGCAGCGCCACTTCAAATGAACTAAAACCCAGGATGCAGCCACGTTGTGGAGGCTAGGGGTGTCCTGCTCGTTCACGGTTCCTGGTGGCTATTGGTCAGGTTACAGACTGGTTCCGTGAAGTTCCCCTCCCCCCCCCCCCGACCTTGTCACAGATAAAATAATTTCGACTATTCTGTAATTTATATTGATGAATCTACACAAATATTGGCTGCCAAATCTGTTACTGTACTGACCCCACTGTATATTTCGGTCCAGTTGTCAGCATAATCACCATTTATGTTGGTTTGTTGGAAGGAAAAAAATATGCAGACTCAAGAAATACCATGACTAAAGTCAAATCATATTCTGGGTGTCTCGTGGTCATATCTCAAAACACGTTGGAGATATCTGGATACCCACAATGCCCAGTTGCGCTGCGCACCTGGATTAAACCTTCACTATGTCCCCACAAGTATAGTTTCGGTCCTAAAATGTGTCGGGTTTACAGAAAATACAATTCTCTCCAGCTGTGTGATATGAAAAAGAAAATCCTGAAGATCTCAGAGGACTGATGGAGTGCAGTGGATGGGGGGGAGATCTTGTGCCTTTATTCCTGGATGAACCCAAACCCAACATTGCCTGCAATGGTGAAAACGATGAATGTAAGTAGGGACAGTGCCTCTTGTGTTGGGTGGGTTATTTATATTAGAGTAAGCTTGCCAAGTGTGGAGAGTTAGCATTTTTGCAGCCGGTTTAAACGATAACATTGAAAAACGGCAAGGGTAACTGTCAACATTTTAACACTGTTTATCCGGAAAAATCAGCGCGAGGAAAAGTTGTGTTTACAAGGGCAAAAATACTTGATTTATTTTAATTAAAAGCATTGAAGATGAAATACTCCATATAACATTATTCCAGAGATAGAATTAAGGCCTGGCTGACAGTCCTTCATCGTGACAGAATAAAACAACAACAGGCTGTAATTTTGATTTCTTAATTGTTTTTGTTTTGTATGAATATTATTACTAACTTATCATTATACATTCACATACGCTTTACACTCCATTGTTAGGAGCATCAAATGGACCTGCCCGCAAGTGGCTTTCATCTGTCATTCACATAGTCATATTTTTGTCAGAATATTTCCATCCCACAATTTCAAACGTTCTGAATCAACTACAGTATTTGCAACAGGTTCGGTGCTCAGGGGCCAAGCAGCCTTCCTGTCACGTGGACCTGTCTTTGTGACGTGCGGGACCGCACATTTCCTTCACCCAGTTTTTACATAATTTCAATCTTGCAGCATATGAAGCTACGCAAGACAATGCTGGGGTGGAGGGTGGTGGGGGAGAAGCCACACAGAACGGTGCATGCATTGCACACAGCGCACAATACACAACGCGCAATGTTGCTCCAAGCTTCCTCTATTTGTGTTGAGACCTTCCTGTTACAATGCAAAGCAGCTAATAGGTATACCTTTGCCAGAAACTAAAACTAAGTTTGCTAAATATATTCCCCACCTCTGACTGCACTCCCTCACCCACCGCACACTTTTTAATCTTTAATTTCGAAACTCGATGTTAAATTAATATTAAAAAAAACACTTCCAATAATTTTTGTCCAGTTGAACGCTTACAAATCACTGTTTCTGGAAGTAGAAAATCTATGTGCAGCGACCGGTATCAACTTTAATCTCGCATTGTCAGACTACTGTATTGATCATAACATCTGGTGAATGAAGTTCCTCTTGGCGATAAGCCACCGATGAGAGGATGGGAACAAGTTATTTGGACTGCAGTTTGAGGAAACTTAACTTGGCAGGTTAGTCACCAAGCCATATTTCCTGTACGTTTTTACAAATACCAAAGATAAACTTTTCATGTTTTGGCAGTCCCATTTATATGGACTTGATACTACAGAGATCTCCAATGCTTTCATTGCAATTTCAAAGTTAATTTAGTCTTCATATGCATCTGTTTCAACGAAGGCCTGCAAATATATCTAAAGCTCTCGCATATTATAACTCTCTTCCACTGTACATCTGATCCTTGCCAGGGCAGGTGCCAGGTTTTCCACTGCAGGTGAGCCATGCCACTTAAGTGTCGTGCTGTCTTTACATTATAACGACTAACCATCACACGCAATGGGTCTTGCGAGTCCAGAGTATCACTGAATTTTTGCTGGTTCCGCATGGCAAATAGCCAGTGGATAAGCATCCATACTGAAGGCCCCGTAGCTCAGATGTACCGGTGGAAAGGGGGGGTTATGCTATCACAAATGGGCTTGGCGAATGATTCCTGCCGAGTTGAGTTTTAACAAATATTGCAGGTTTTTATTGGTGTTGAGCCTGGCTGCTTCCATGCCATATGGCAGGTACTGATGAGCCTCTGAAGGCTTGTGTCTTTTAATGAGTGCAACCACCTTTTGAAAGATATTTGTTGAATGTTGCCGTTGCATAATAAATGTGTTTTAATGGTGTGTTGGCTAAGAGAAATAAATATACATGCACGCAAATGTATAGTTATGTCGGTCTGTCCAACGCGATATAAACAAGTATAACCCGTAAAACAAAGTTTTTCACTATAAATCCTTTATATGCGTGGCGGCTAGAGTCCTCTCGTCCTCTGGCTTGAGATGGCTGCCACCTATGTGTCAGATGATTGCATGGCAGCATTAAGCAATTGGTAATTAAATATATTTTTGTCCTAAAAAGTGTAAAATTTTGGAAAAAAATGTTCACGAACATGCATTGTCACGCACAACGAGTCTGTGTGCAAAATGTCAGCTCGATTGGATCACGGGAAGTGGGTTAAAAAACGACCGAAAGATTTGCACGGTCCTAAGCAAGCAAGCAAGTGAACTTAATGTAAAGGATTTAAAAAAGCAAAGTTTGTGGGGAATAATATCCATTTTCTATACTTTTGAGGCATAAGCAATTAGAAAATAACACTACCCAGGAACAAAAATCGTGTTACAGTGATTCAAGCCTCCACGCACGACGGAGTGTGGGGAGGCCTTCATGCAGCAGCAGATTGAAAAGGGCTGTCTATTATACAGTATAGTCGTTTACAGTGAAAGGACAAGGTAATACTGTCGATGTGCATTGTCAAGATACCATATATAAAAACTGCACGTCATGAGTGAATTACACGTGAAATATAATTACATTTTGTGCACATGCAGTGGTTGTGATTGCTCATATTATTGGCCAACATAGTTGCTCTGGCCAATCATAAGTTTAAAACAAAACTGGCTGGCAGTGATTGTGGAGTTAGCCCATGTGCTGCTGTGAATTGTGAAAACTTGACACAATTTTATTCCTGCAGATGAGCTTGGGAAAGTGTTGGGTTTCCACACTGGTAAATGTACAGCCATTCTTTGCCAATCCACTGTTCGACGAGAGCGTCCTAACATTTTTTCTAGATTTGAAGCTTTCGTGACTGCAAGGATTTATACTCTTAGTTCTTTCGGTAAAGTCACGTAGCTAAACAATGAAATAAAAATTGTTTTATTTTTATTAATTTTAATTTCATTTTTTACCTACGTGACTTTACCGAAAGAACTAAGAGTATGAGTCCTAACATTTGTTTCATACGGAGGGCCACGTGGTTGTTAATTATACAGCTCGTATTGAGGCACATTTTGACAATTCACTGCTGGATGAGGGCCTCGCTAAGCCTTGTGGGCGGTGAGGAATGTTCGGCTATACTTCACACAGGTCAGTGCAGGTTGACAAAGATGGGGAGGGGTGGAGTTGGGGGGGGGGAGTGGAGAGCCACAGTGGATTTGTAAGCAGTCCTCTTCAGCCATCAATGCCTATTAGACCTTTCTTCGTGTGGTTACCCATCCAAGCACGATCCAGGCTCTAACCTGCTTAGCTTCCACAATCGGCCATATGGAAGGATAGTCACAGGATTTTGATGGTATGTACAATTAATGGAAATGCATGTAATATACCGCACACTTAAATGCATAAACAGTTTATTTGGCTATAACACGTTGATAACAAACTTGTGTGCATGACAATGAAATGACTCTTCAGAAGTCCAAACACAATGCTTATAAAACATCCACGTGTTTTTTTTAACAATCAAGACAACTTGTCAACACTGGGTTATTCCAACAGCATATATCCTACCACACGTTGTCATTAACTCAAGAAAACATCAAAAAGGTGCTTCAGCAATCAAACCAGCATTTGGTACCACATCGCCTGTCATTATCTGTGAGCAAATGGTAGAAACTATACAGTTGTCAGGGTTGAGTGTATATGTCGGTCAACTATCATGTCCCACAATGTGGTACGCTATTTTATCAACCCCTGAGAGATTAAATGCTGTTGACCCCTAACCAGTCTGAATTAAGATTGCAAAACTGCCCTTAAACCAGTGCAACACAAGTTCAGATAAAACACATTAACATTTAACACAAAAAAAATTGAATAACCAATTCTTTAAAGATGTGCCATTACTCTACGTTTAAGAGGTTTTTCTATTTTAGAAAAATAACAGAAAAGGAGTGCAAACAACTTCGTGGCACTCTTCACCAAAGCAATTCTATTTTGTCATCCAGCTGGAAACTAAAAGTACTCGTACATTCTAAGCCACGTGAGACTCCCAACTTTTTTTTTACATCGGTGATACAAATTCAAGTGATGTAACCAAATACTATAACTAGTTTAACATGTTAACAAGTTTTGTAAAGCACGTAAGGGTAGTTGGCATATCAACTCACCTACTCGTACAATGTCGACTTATTTCAAAATGATCACACCATCCAATGGAACCAGGCATGCAACGATTAACCTTTTTATGACTTTACCAATTGTCTCCGGTCAGAGGTCATGTTTTTGTTTCATTTGCACATCTTGGTTTGAATCATCTATCCAATTTGTTCCATTAGCTTCAAGATTTCAAAATAATTTGCATACATTGTCATTTCCCCACAATTTTGTTCCAATTGTGTTCTCTCCATGACAAGAAGCGTCCATTCGGACCTTTGGATTATGCATCACCCTGGGTTAAAGAGCAGCCCAGAGAAGCATATATTGTGGAGCTACTTATGAAATTCCATTAAGTGACTTTTATCCACACGATAGGAAGCACATTTTATCACGCATCATTACTACTTAAAATTACATACAAAGCTGATAATTTGGAAATTCTCAAAGCTGGAATTTAGTCAAATTAAGTGGAAAAAAGCGACTTTAACGTGAATGTTTTGTCCAGTCATTGGTGACTGGGCTTTGATCATAAACTCCCTGAACTTGAGGACCTGGATTAATTAGGGGAGCCGAAACCCAAATTCAGTCACCTTGTAAATAATGCTTCCTTGCCTTGATGCATGTAGTCGGTAAAAATATTAACCAATGAATGTTATATGCCTTGAAAGCAAGTATTGATTGAACATCTGCTGTTGATTAATCACAGCCACAACTGTTGCTTTCATTTGGCAGTCAGGTGTGGTAATTCACCCGCCATATATATGTATTTTAGCTTGCCTGGCTTTTCTCTTCCCCGCTGCCCTCGGGTATAGCGGGGTCATTTTCCCAATCATCAGACAATACAACAGATGCTGTGGCATTAGGGGTCTCTCCATCAACCTTTTGTGCCAACCACGGAGCACTACGCTGCTTGGCAGGTTCCCTGGGGAAGGATGAGGAGCTTGTGTTCCAATCCTGAGAACCACGATTATTGGACTCCATAGATTCCCATGGCCGTTTACGATCAGAAGTAACATTTCTACCCGACCAATTTCCCCGACCACCACGCCATCCACCACGCCCGCCACCACCACCACCATCATCATGGTTGCTCCCACCTCGATAACCACCCCTGCCCCAGTTTTGCTGCTCATTCCACCCACCGGATGCCCCTCTGCCTCCCGCGCTGCCAGAATGCGAGTCTGGGCCCTGCACATTCTGCCTCCTCCAGTCACCGTCATCTCTCCTTCTAAAGACTCTGGTCCCTCCCATGCCACGCGACTCCCCGCCGTAAAAATTTGAGTCGCCTTGTGGCGTGAAACGACTGGCTCCATCCGTGCTGGGGCGGCTGCTTTCCTGGCTGCAAGTTTCCTGTGGGCACTTTCCAGTGTGTGCATGTGCATGATGACCGCACTCCTGCGGGGCGCCAGCAGGCACGGGCTGAGTGCAACCCAACTGCATCTGCCCCGCAGGTGCATGCAGGTGCGACGGGTGACTTGTGCAGCACTGTGTCGGCTGACAGTTGCTGCAGATGCAGGGAAGCGAATACGGCCTGGGCTGAGGGTATAGGTATGGGTTGTGTCCGTACGGCCATCCAATCGCCCCGTATTGAAAAGCAGCCCAGGGAGGCACGGCCGATGCAGCGACGGCAGCAGCAGCAGCGGTGACGGGTGCCACCATTGTGGTGCTGCTGGGAATCAAATTTGCTTTCACGAGGCTGTTCAATTGCTCGGTGCTCAACATGGTGATGGTCTGCTCCGCCTGTTGCTGTGGCTGTGTGAGCAGCTGGCTGATGGCCAACAACGCCTGGCGTAGCGTGCTGTCCATCCGCCTCTGGCTTGCCGTCGAGATGCTGGTTTCTATGTCCACATGGTGTGGGTCGGGAGGATTGCTGCTCATTGTTGTACAACTGCTCGTGTTCTCTGCGACCTGCAACAAAGATTGGCCATGCAAATATTTTTTTCCAAAAATGCTATCAGTTCAATGTCAGCATCTATAATAGACATGTATTAAGCTATGATAAAATTGGTAGTATTCCTTTTTAATTATGAAACCCTAAGTTGCAAGCACAGGATAAAAAAAACCCATTACTGCTGTCATTAATAACACTGGAAAACAAAGTATATAAAGTTGGCTGCTTTGGACAATGGCCCTTCTGAACGGACAGAATTCTGTCTTCGACATAAAGTATAAACAAATGTCCATGTACAGCTCAACTCTGAATCGCTGATCTGTTTAGGGTCATTTCAAACAGATCATTTAATTTTCACACACGACATTGGGTGCACAGGAAAACGGTCTGATCTAGTAAACGCAATTACAACACCAAGTTTCGTGAGCATTTTTTCTGGAATGCCATCCGTCTGATTTGGCAGGCTAAACTACCAAATCAGACGCTCCAACATTCATGCTGGGTTTGAACCGTTTGTTCTGCACGCACGAGTCAAGGCGCCGGTCACAACACCCGTTTGTTCAAGTAGCACACGTGTTTACTTGTTTAGCAACTGCCAACATTGCTGGCGAGGACGGGTAGGGCAGCATATGAACCATACCCCCCTGTGATCTTGAGTGGAAGCTGTGGCATTACCCGACCCCCAAGACCCCAGGTTTCGCACGAGACGATGTTTGTCCATTTTACACATTGGAATACGCTTTCGGTGGAGCAATGCGAAAAGGCGTGACGTGTTTCAATGTTGCTCCACCACGCGTGGCGCGTGTTCTGTATTGTGGTCTTGTTCCCTCCTCCATGAATAGGACCACTTGTGGGCCAAATGCAACCCTCGCACACATAACAGCAGAATGCTGATCTGTC